CCGTTGATGTATCTGTAAAATGGCATGCCTTGACATATTGAAATGTAGTCATATTCCTGAGGTGATACATTAACATACATTATCCTTAAGGTAATGCATAATGACCTGCCGGAAGGAAGAAAGGGAAGCTGTTTCGCGTTCTGACCTTGTCGATATGGTCACCTGCTGACCTATCTCTGAGCTCTGACCCTAGGCACTCTGCACTAATTGAGACAACATGGTGTTGCATGGATACTGGCTGCACCTGACGAGTCTGGCCATGCCTGAAGCAGCCTTGACCTTTAACATGTGAATGTTAAATGCCATTCTATACATTAGATGGAAGACCCTGTAAAGAGAAGACGATATGCAGATGCTAATGTGATTCACCTAAGCTGGAAGATTACAAAGTGTTTAGTGGTTAGAGGGAATGTCAGAGGCCATTTGTTTAAGGGCAGTTTCACACTCATTAAAAGTACTGAGACTCATATCTTTCCGATTATATGCTTCTGTCACTTGTCAGTCTGGGTACTGCTCACATCCTAAAATCCCTCAAGGGAAAACATTTAAAAGTTTGGGACCCAACTGGAAAGAGTAATGGTGAAAATGGGGAATCTCTTCCATGAGCCAGAGTCCTATCTCACTGTAAGCTAAATAAAATGGTTTGAGTGACACCTTAATCGCTCTGATAACCCAAACTCACAGATTGGAAGCAAAGCCAAGCCAATGGCATTACATTCCCTTGGGACTTGACAGTTTGACTTTGTCAAGGACAATTCTTTGATTTCGTCTGTTACTCCTTCCATCCGTAAGAACAAAGGCTGCCTAGCCTTCATCATCTACCCGTCTTAGTCACAAATAAACTGAGTGCACCAGTGAAGTCGTCATGGAGACAACCCAAATAACCTCTGCTGTCAGTGTGCATCAAGACTTAACCTGCAATGGCTCCATCCGAGGTTTTGAGTCTAGGACAAACCGTGACTGCTGAGAGATTTGCAACAAACTTGTTATGTGAACCTTGGGTATGGAATGTCTCCATAGGTATAAGTGTATGTTTAAAATAAGTTAGAATCATTAATGGGATAGTTCACCGCAAAATGAACATTCTGTATGATTGCAAACCTGTATGATGTTCTTTCTCGCATGAACCACAGAAGGAATTTGGAATATTTCAACATTTTGTCAACATAGGCACATTGGAAAATACTGCACTATCAATGTTTTTGCAAAAAACGGCAAAAATGTACCGATACATACAATTCACACAAAATTGTGATTACAGGGGCAGATGATTAGTTAATAAATTATTTTCACATGGTTTCTTGCACCATACTATATTATGACCTAAAAACATTTTACCATAGTGCATGATTTGTAAATGAATAAATTTTCATGTTTGCATAAAAAAACAGCTTCATATATGGATTTTCCCGTGTAGTAAACTTGCTCGGTAGCTCACCAGGTACAGCATTGACTTGTAATAATATAGAGAGCTTGGATGCGAGTCCCATGAAAAACAATTAACGAAATAATAACTAAAAGATTGTGTAGAAATTAGCTAAAATGGCTTGGCTGCTTGCTTTTGTTAACACTATCAGTTGGGTTATATGTAATAAATCATTGCCAGAATCACGTCCATCTGCTGAGCATGCTTTTAGTGCCACTGACTTGGCATTTCACTTTGAAAAATGTTACAAAATGTGCAACAAGCAACATAATATTTTGCAAAAAATGTTCTCACAAATAGGTTTTTCCAATGAGCCTTGATTTCTTTTTGTCCATATAATTAAAATCCGAAACAACACTAAACCCCATGAATTTCATTGAATGGACCAAAAATAAAGAAAGAAAGAAAGAAAAAACAAAGTCTTTCAGAAGATATTTTTAATATGGTCCACAAAAGAAAGAACATCATACAGGTTTGTAACAACAGAATTATAATTTTTGTAGCGAATCAGCTCATGGGGAAATATGAATAATTAATCATAACTAGTTATAATTAATTATAAATATTTAGATCCGCTGTAGATATTTAGCTGACCTCTCAGGGTCAACTGTCTGTCAATTCTAAGAACGTTAATTTCCTGGTTAAAGGAAATAACTTTCTTACTAGTAGAAAAGTCTTGTGCCTCTTGCGATGGAACATGCAGTGATTTTCCCTGCTTCGCATTCCATTAGGTCGTAAATGTATCTGGTGTCAGGGTTGCCATGGTAACCAGGGTCCTGGGCCCTGTTCACAGACAACTTGGCACCCAGTATGTTTATTGGGTGAGGGGTCTGTGAACGTTTGTTAATCTAATGAATAATTGATTTGTTAAATCAAATGAAAAATTGTGTTTTTGATTGGTCCAGACGCTACATTTTTAAGTAAGCTATCCCTTTAAGCTTTACATCAGAATATAAGTAGAAGAAATGGGGGTGAGGCCTCTATAGGCCACAAGAAGGATGCTCAGAGAAATGACCTCTGGTATTTAAGAACAGCCAAGGTTATTTGCCTGAAAAGCATGGTTGATATTTGTGCAAATGGTGAGAAGGTTGCGTGTATGTACCCCTATGTGGATGGCATGTCAGCGTTGTGCTTGAAGGGATATATGAGTGACAGCTTTGCTTCAGGCCACTGCAAGCTAATCGTCAAGACGGACTGCCATTGCCCACGAATTACTGCTTCTGTTCTATGCTTTGACAAGACTACTGACACGTGCTGACATTGCGAGGGGGCTGCGAGACAGTTGACACACAAGGACGGGTTCATGTGCCCATTTCTCATTGACTTATCAAAATCCTGATTTTCAAGGGTTTGACTTAAAGACAAATAAGACCTTTTCACTGAAAGGCCACCTTAAAGATGATATACATGCTAGTGACGTTACCCCGATGAGAGTTTGAGCAGTCAGTGAGGAACCAATGGAAAATATTATTATTATTTATTATTCATAGTTCGTAGTTGGATTTTTAATAGTATACAATACATATTGATTCTCACTTTTTTCATCTAAGTAACAATGTTTTCAATTTAATAACTGTGATCTCTTTGTGAGGAAACCCCCTTCTTAAAATGTAAAGGCAGCTATATATTTTCATGTACAAAGACCTATTGTGAGAAAATTACATAATGTTGTTTCAAAATTAAATAATAGGCATTTATATTGTCCACATGCAAATTATTAAGTTGAAAACATTTTGTAAGTTGGCATGCTTTTCCCCCCTGCACTCTGTTAGATTAATATTAGATGTCTAAACCAGACGAAAAACATTGTCATATTTATCTCCAAGATAACAGTGAAAGTTAGCATGTTAACTTTGACAGCCCTAAAAATGCATGTTGTAAAAATAATTTTTCCACAGTTTTTCCTTGACCTCCATCTCTTGTGGCGACCCCTGACTTAGAATACAAACCAACACAATGGATAAATTGTTGTCAAACAGGAAGAAAAGCATTTCAGACGGTTGATTGCAGACTTTGGTTTCTTGGTAAACTGAGCTCTTTTAATGCATGTGAGCTTAGCTGAGCAGAAAAATCTAAGCAGCATAAAATTTGCTTTTCAAAATAGTCTCATTGCTCTCTAGAAATGCAGTTTAAATAGTTTTCTTTTTTTTTTTCTTTCCCTTTTGTGAAATAAATAATTTCTGTGTTTTTGTAATGTAATAAATCCAAGTATATAGTACTGTATTTATGTATGAAACATTAAGCATATGTGTTGCCATTCACATACATTTTCCTACACATACATTTACCTCCTCTAAAGAGAAGAGGGAGTGCAACTCAGCTGCAACTGCCTTTAGTGTTTCCATCTTGATTACAACGTTAGTTAATTATTTCAGCTATACACACAATGTCAAGTTCTTGTGCCTGGCGGCAATTAGAGATGTGCATTCATTAAAACCACCCTTGTTCTTTCCCTAATGCAGCCATCAACTATAGGCCATGCCTAACCATCCACACAATGAGGGAACGTAATTAATACCTGCACACTCTCACATTTATAAACACACATGTGCACCCTGCTTTATATAGAATGCACATTCTGTGAATAGATGGAGGCAGATATTTGGAGTGCAGATCAAGCATGTGTTTATGGGACAATAAAAGCTTTATTGAACTCCTGGAAGGCTTAGTAAACACGTTCTGTTTACATGATAAAAAGGAAAAGTTACTATGTAGGCTACATCTGAATGCTGAAAAATGCTGCCTTGATGATTGAATCATTACTATATAATATGATATATACAGTATTGTAATGTCCTATACTACGTGTGATATTGCCATATATTTTACCCATAAGGTGATATATCATTTTCACATACATCAATTCTCTGGGTAGATGTGATATAGGTTTAGAACATACATATATAAAATGCTCAAATTTCTATATGTACATGTTAATATCTATATGATAATTTTTATATGGTATTATATGTAGCAACCATATATGTCAACAATATGTATTATATTTATATATCCAACTTTATTAAAACATGTTTACAAAAATCTGTATGTTTAAATCCTTTATATTTACTTATAATGTTAACATGTGTTGGCAGATTTTAGGGTGGATATACATGTACATGACATACAGTATATGTCCAAAACTGTATTACACATACATAAACATAAGTATCTATATTGGCTATATACTGTATATGTTAATATGAAATTGTTCCAATTTCCTATGTCTTTCATGTATGTTTTTACTTCATATGGTAATATTTTTCATATGTGGAAATGTAATATATATATTAGATATACAGTATTATATATTTATATAAAATAATTTATATGTAATTATATATAATATAATAGATATATTACATTTGTGTATGGGCAAAGCTTTCTCTGTTTTGTTGTATATCGTTAAACCGTATAATGCTGCCTCAGAAGTCTGAAATCAGTTTCAGGAGGTACCTTTGTGTGCAAAGTATTGCTTGATAGGGCAGCAAGTCATCTTAAGCTAAAGCCTAAGCTTTTGGATGTAGTCAAAGACTCCTTAACCTGTATATCTCTCTTTCTGTCTGTTTCTCAGGTAACATCTTTGTGGTGAGTTTGGCGGTGGCGGACCTGGTGGTGGCCATCTATCCGTATCCGCTGGTCCTGACCTCCATATTTCACCGTGGCTGGAACCTGGGATACATGCACTGCCAGATCAGCGGATTCCTGATGGGCGTCAGTGTAATCGGCTCCATTTTCAACATCACCGGCATCGCAATCAACCGCTACTGTTATATCTGCCACAGCCTCAAATATGACAAGCTCTACAGCGACAAAAACTCAGTTTGCTATGTACTGTTAATCTGGGCCTTGACGGTGCTTGCTATTGTGCCCAACTTGTTCGTAGGCTCCCTGCAGTATGATCCACGGGTTTATTCCTGTACGTTCGAGCAGTCGGCGAGCTCGGCATACACGATCGCTGTCGTCTTCTTCCATTTCATTCTTCCCATCATGATCGTCACCTACTGTTACCTGCGAATCTGGGTTCTGGTCATACAGGTGCGAAGACGAGTGAAGCCCGACAATCGTCCCAAGCTCACGCCTCACGACGTGCGAAACTTCGTAACAATGTTTGTTGTTTTCGTACTCTTTGCCGTGTGCTGGGCACCATTAAACTTCATCGGGTTGGCGGTAGCGATTTCTCCTGAGCGCGTGGTTCCTTTAATACCTGAATGGCTCTTTGTGGCAAGTTATTTTATGGCATACTTTAACAGTTGCCTCAATGCAATCGTCTATGGAGTTTTGAACCAGAACTTCCGTCGTGAGTATAAGCGCATCGTGGTTTCAGTATGTACTGCCAGGATCTTCTTTGGGGAAAGTTCTAATGAAGCGCAAGAAAGACTCAAGAGTAAACCCTCGCCACTCATGACCAACAACAATCAGGTCAAAGTGGACTCTGTGTAAGCGTGAAAAGAACACAGAAAAATCAATCCTTGCTTGAAACTAAGCAAACTTGATTTAGAAAAAAAATCTGATCACTAATATGTTGTTCAGGACATGGCGCTGAAACTGTGATTTGTTGCCTCAACACAATCAAAACAAACAGGAAATTATTATCATTGTCTTTTATAAAGCACTTTTTTCATTCTTGGTCAGAAGTACTTGTATGTATGAATTTATTGTTTAAGTGTTTACAGTAATTGTATCAGCAAATCTATGTAAGACATACTTTCTGTAGTGATTTTATATGAGTTATCTTTGTCTGAAGAGAACAAAAAACAAATATGAAGGTATGATTGATAAATTACTGTATATATATATATATATACAGTGTATATATATATATATATATATATATATATATATTGAGTGTGTTTCACTGATGTTGATCATTCAGTGGAGAATGAAGAACAATGCTGTCAAAATGTTGCCATGAACATCAGCATATCTCTACAATGCCTGGCCATAAATGTGACCAAAACTTTATAAACACTCAATCAAAAGAGTTTGTTACAGAGTTTATTGTTTTGAGATGACCTCACCTGGTTCAACACTGTTACTCTACATTTGAGAAAGCAATACACCTGGATTGCTGCTTTCCCACAACCCCCTGCAAATATGTTTGAGGGTATGGGGTTCCTTCTGTGTAGGGTTTCTATCCCCTCTACTTGCTATTCTTTTTTTTTAATTGTTTCTATTTTCAGCATTACCTGTCTTTATCTATTTACACATTTCCTTACCTTCTCTCTTTATTTTTCTTTGTATCTGTCTTTCTCTCCACTCTTTGTATGCATGGATCTGATGACAAGTTCATATGCAAACTGAATAAAAATAATAAAAGTAAAAAGTTTGATGAATAAGATAAAATTGGAATTTCTGCATAATTATGTGAAATGTATACATTATATGTGTACCTTGAATATACGACAGAAATAGACTGTGCACTGAAAAAATACTGTTTTGTCTTGTTTTCTAGTAAAATATTTAATCATTACTAAAACAAGATAAAAAAAAAAACAAATAAAACAAGATAAAAGCCAAACTGCATAATAAATGAAGATTTTTTTCCTGAGAATATACAGTTCTGTGCAAAAGTGTTAGACCATTTGCACCCTCCCCTCCCCCCCCAAAAAGTTTTAAGCCAGTTGTGGAGCATACTGGCTGCTGTCAGACTCCTTGTGCATACAAAAATCTCACTGGATTATTACAATTAATGGCAAAAGGGTTGTTTGAAAATGTAAACTGATATTTCCTACTGACAGCAAAATATAGAAATTGAAACTGTATAAGCAAACGTCAGATAAATACCTTTATTTTTAGGATATGCAGATGTTTTTACTGGAAAACAACAAAACAAATCCAAAACAAATGAAAAATGTTTTTTTTTTTTTTTTGCAGTGGGACAATACATATAATGTCACCCATTATTATGCATCACTTTTTGAATAACACAGTAGAAAATGGGACAAAATACAGGTAGTATCACCAACACTCCAATATAAGTATTAACTTACAGTATTAGATTGAATCTTATGCAATAGTTCTAGCTGAACGCCCGCCACTGCTTCTCTCTCTCAATAACATGACATGTTGTGGTGACATCACTCTGTTTAATCCAAGCCAACCAAACTGACTGAACGAGTGCGTGAGAGAATGAATAAGCGATATAAAAAAAGCCAGGATTTACACTGCCTTCTAACAGAATTATGCACTAATCTGAGCCTCTCCTGCCTTTATCGCCCTCTGCAACCAAGAGATTCATATCTATGTATAAAACTGAATGTGTTATGTGGAAGGAGGGGTGATTTACTCTGACCCCATCCAAGTGTGGTTATGGTTGGAACATGAGAGTTGGTCAGATTTGTTGGAGGCTGTAATTTAGAGTGTTTGGAACTTTCTGCAAACTGCAATTTTAAGATCAATGAATCTGCGTTTCTGTTTTTTTTTTATTAGAAAATCTGATTTGCTGTTTTTTTGTACACAAGACATGCGCTATTTTAGAGCTGGACACAGCCTAATCAGGGTTTAGTCTGTCGTATTATGATGATATCAGAGCTGATTGAGAAATAGTCCATTTAATTTGAGGTGATTTTCAGATGAGCCTGTACGGTCTGAATTCCCAGACACAGATTAAGACTATTCCTAGACTACAAAGCATTTCCAATGGAGAATCACCTGTTTGACCCAGTTCTGTTATTCCGTGTCTAAGCAACCAACCCCAGTTGTCTATGGATTTTGCACAACCACATTTTGCCACTAGAGAACGCATACAAATTAAATTCTTCCCAACCCTTGAGTGAGAATCTGAATCATCTGTCATCATTACCTTACAAAAATGTACACAGCGGGCCAAAAGTTTGAAATCATTAAGATTTTTCATTTTTTTTTTAAAGAAATCTCTTATGCTCAATAATGCTGCATTTATTGTAAAAATTACAATATTTAAAAAAAAAAATTACAATTAAAAATATTTGAATAAAATCGAATTTATTCTTGTGATGGCAAAGCTGAATTTTCAGTGTCATCTTCAGTGTCACATGTTCTGAAATCACATATGTTGATTTGGTGCTCAAGAAACATTTCTTATTATCAATGTTGAAAACAATTTTTGCTGCTTAACATTTGTGGAAACACTAACATTGATATACTATTCAAAAGAAATGAATACTTCTATTCAGCAATGACATTAAATTGTTATTAAAGTGACACATTGTACATTTGTCACAAACAGGCAAGAGACAAGAGGAGTTCACGTAAACAGAGGGGTTTATTGTCAATGCTGTGATGGTTAGGATCGAAGGCAGGTGAGTAAGAGAGATATGAGAGTTCTGGGTATCTTAACTTCTTGGTAATCTAGGTATGATAGTAGTAGGAATCCTGGAGATGAACCGGGGCTGAGGAGAATCGGAATAGCGGAGACTGAATGGACTTCTGGAGGTAAGGAAACAGTTAGTAAAGCTTGCAAGGAGTCTGGCAATGTTCAGGTAGTGAACGGTAGACCGGACACTGGAATGCTGAGTGGAGTGAGAAGATATAGCGGGCTTAATTGGTGATGCAGGTGCAGGTGATCAGAATTCAGGTGATTGGGATCTGGTGTGTGTCGGAGAAGGTGACTGTGCTGACGTGAGCGATTGCGATGATTTCCTGACATTACCCCCTCCTCCAGGGGCAGCTCCTGACGCCCCCATGTGGCGACGAGGGCGACCGCGACTTCGGGGTGCGGGACGGTTTGGATGGTTGCGGTGGAATTCTTCCAGCAGGGATGGATCCAGTATGTCGTCGCGAGCCAACCAGGACCTCTCCTCCGGTCCGTATCCTTCCCAGTCAATAAAGATATTGTAACCGGCCGCCCTGTCGCCGCGAATTCAGGATTTCTTTCACCTGGTACACCGAGGGCTGATCCAGAACCTCACGAGCATGCACTGCAAAGGGGTCAGGCCGGTGGTATTCTTACGGAGGGAGTTTTGTGCATACTCGGCCCAAGGAAGGTAGCGGCTCCAGCTGTGCTGATCGTCATGGCAGTATGACCGGAGGTAACGTCCGAGCTCCTGGATCCTTCGTTCAGTCTGGCCATTTGTCTGTGGATGGTACCCCGAGGACAAGCTTACGGTCACTCCCAGTAACCGGAAGAAGGCCCTCCATACTCGGGAGACGAACTGGGGCCCTCAGTCTGAAACGACCTCCTCCGGGAGGCCGTAGTTCCGGAAGACCTGAGTGAATAGGCATTCAGCTGTCTCAAATGCAGTTGGGAGACCCTTGAGAGGGATGAACTTACAGGTCTTGGAGAATTGATCAACCACAACAAGGATACAGGTGTTACCATCAGAGGCAGGAAGGTCAGTGACGAAATCCACTCCAATGTGGGACCAGGGTCTACGGGGCACGGGCAGTGGGACGAGCTTGCCTACGGGGAGATGACGTGGGGTTTTAGACATGGCACAGACTGAACAGCTTTGGACGTACCTGTTGACATCCCGGGTCATACTGGGCCACCAGTACCGAGCCTGGAGGAGCGAGAGGGTCCGTTGCCTGCCTGGGTGTCCAGAGCCCGGTACTTCATGCACTGAGCCCAGAAGGGTCTGACGCTGGGAGGTGGGAACGTACGTCTTCCATTCTGGGCAGCCCGGCAGAGCAGGTTCGGTGCGAGTGGTGTCACGGATGTACTGGTTGATGTTCCACTGTATGGGGCTGACGATCAGGGCTGGAGGGAGAATGGGTTCTGGTTCCGTTGGACTGTCGGGAGAGTGAATACGGGATAGCGCATCAGCCTTGCAATTGCGATTTCCAGGTCTGTAAGTGATTGTGAATTGGAAC